TTAAATCAACTAAAATTGGACAAAGGAGTAGTAAGATACTTTGTATATTTTTTTAAGATGGTAGGGTGATGTTATTATTATACTTTCAATTACTAATATCACATTTTTTTTATTTTAATTGATTATTTTATTTTTAATTTATTAATAAAAAATAAATTAAAAATATATATAAGGATATAACAAGCAATTATACTAAAAATATATAACATTAATTATTCAAAATATGATAACAACTTCACTCAACATAGTTGTTTTATAGTTTATCTTATACAAATTACACATTTTATAATTTTTGATGAAAAAAAAACCATTAAGCTATCAAAAAAACCAGTTATTTATTAATGATTATAAAATATGCAAACTATGTACTTTTTTTTTTTTTAATAGCTGAGAAGTTTTAAAATTCCAAACGGTATAAAGTGACAGATATATCTCAAATAGTTGAATCAGGAAATCAATCTACTGCTAATTTAGGTAAATTATGCAGCTCATCAGATCCTACAAAAAAATTTTAATAATAGATTTTGAATTAGTAGAATTTAGAACGCGCAAGACACCATTGTTCATCTTGCTCTGTAAAGGGTTGTCAAGTTCAAGCTGCTATCAATGCTCGTCTCTGTTCAAAAAAGCATTATTTTAGGTCAAATTTCTCAATCATATCTCGAAAGAAAAAAGAGAGGCATTAATAAGGGGGAAGAAGAAAAGTTGGCTTTTTTCTCACAAGTCAGGACTGTGTGCTTTTGGATCATCCGGAGCCCTATAAATAGGTCGTTTCCCGGAGGGTTTATTGTACCTTGCAGTGGAAGCAAAACCAACCCTTTGGATCTTCCTGTCTTTCTTCTCTGCTCTCTTCTTTCTGTCACCCTAATTCCTTTCTTCCGTCGGGTTTATAATGGCCGAGACATCTAATGGAAATCACACTGTTGTGACTGTGAGAGGCGTAGATGCCACCATTATTCCTCCTCTGCCGGCCGAGCCATCTAATGGAAATCACACTGTTGTGAGTGTGAGAGGCGGAGATGCCACCGACAGTCCTCCTCCGCCGGCCGCCAGTTCGTTCAAAGACTTCAACCTCGGTTGCTCTGTTCCTTTCATGCAGAAGGTAACCTGTTTGTTTTTATGTCCAAGTCAAAATCAATGTTATAAAGGTCCTTTTATTTGAAAACCCATTTTGTTTTTGTGATGACGTTCAAAAGCCATTTTTTATTTAATTCGATTATGGTTTGAGAATTTGAAACCATGAATGATGGGATATTGGTGTTGGATTTGCAGCTGATGGCGGAGGTGTTGGGCACATTCTTCTTGATATTTATCGGATGTGCATCGGTGGTGGTCAATTCCAACGAGAACAAAGTGGTGACACTTCCAGGGATAGCAATGGTGTGGGGTTTGGCCGTGACGACTCTGATTTACTCTCTTGGTCACGTTTCCGGAGCCCATTTCAACCCTGCTGTCACCATTGCTTTTGCAAGCTGCAAGAGATTTCCTCTCAATCAGGTAAATTTGCTTATGGTGAATGACTCAATTCCTTTTTCCCTTTTACGGAAAACAGCTTCGCTGTCCCAACTCGAAAATATGAACCTATGAACCTTGGATGGGGGGCAGGTTTTTTAATATTGAAGGTTTTGTAGATTATTATTTTGTAGCTTAAACAGTAAACTACAAACAGCAAACTCTTTCCTTCTTCAGAAAATTTTAATAATAGCTAAATTTCATCAATCACGTCAACTAGTCAAAGAAAATTGGTCGAATTTTTGTATCATGTTTAAGAACCACATGGGATTCAATTCAATAAAGTTTTTTTTTTTTTTTTTTTGGCTTCTTAGGCAAGTAGAGATGATTTTTTTGTTCTTTTGTATCGGTCAGGAACTAATTATTTTGTTCATCTTTGATGCAAGGTTCCGGCCTATATGGCTGCTCAGCTTCTTGGATCAACACTGGCTGCCGGAACTCTTCAATTATTGTTCATCGGAAAGAATGATGTTTTTTTTGGAACATCCCCACAAGGATCAGATTTGCAAGGTTTTGTGATGGAGTTCATCATCACATTCTACCTCATGTTTATCGTTTCCGGTGTTGCCACCGACAACAGAGCTGTTAGTTCCCCCACTTCTTCATCTCTTGATTTGTCCTACCATCCATATTTTTTATTAAAAAAAAGCATTATGACATGGGTCAACTTGGTTGCTGAATGAACTTCCTAAACTCAATGGCCTTTCACACATCTCCAATGTCATTATTATGGTATTAAATACAACTAAAAATTGCCTAATAGGTTGCAAAGCATTTGGAATGGATTATGGTTTTAATGATTTTTTTTTTTTAACATTGACCTTAGGAGCACCTTTTCTTCATAAAACATAATGGAAAATGTAAAAATTAATATTAATTTTAATATTATTATCAAATGTATAAATATTTATTGTTATGACAATAAAATATATTTATTATTTATTATATTATTAATTGAGGGGCACAAATTAAAAAATCTCTTTAATGATAATAACATGATTTAACCTATCCTTTTTGTTTTGAGAACGATGTCAAAAGTTTTGAATATTCCCATAATTTGCTCTATTTGCTTCTGCAGATTGGAGAATTAGCAGGACTGGCTGTTGGCTCTACTGTGCTGATTATCGTGTTGTTTGCAGGGTATAACTTAATCCAAATCCATCACTTGAAAACTTCCATCATTGAAATGGCACACACAACCTTAACTATTCTAAATGCCCAAGAAAAGTATCCCTTTGTAGCTTTGCTTTTGACTATGTTTCCCAGTGTTCATAATCTTGATTCTGTTTTTTATATACAGGCCAATTACAGGAGCATCAATGAACCCTGCAAGAACCTTGGGGCCTGCAATTGTATCAAACCACTGGAAAGGGATATGGATATATCTAACTTCACCAATTCTTGGGGCGGTATCAGCGGCGTGGGTGTATAACATGTTAAGGGAGACAGGCAAGCCATTTTGTGAGATCACCAAAGCAGCCTCTTCCCTCGAGAGTGCATAAAGCCGTTAACATGACTCATAAAAAGGGTTTAGTCAGGGATGGAGCCTGAAATTTAAGTTAAAGGGGCAAAAAGTTAAAATCTTTTGTGAGTTATTTATTAGTTAATGTTAATACAATTTATATTGGTTTTTATATCAGTTGTTAATTTTATGTATATATCACTTAAATTATATGTGTAAAACTTTAAATTAATTAAATATATTTAGCTTTATCAATAAAATTAGATATATTTTGTTATTTTTGAATGATATAAACTTTAAAATCCTTAAATAAATAATATAAAATTATAGTTTTTTTTT